CTCCCCCGCCGCCCACGGCCAGAGAACCAGGTGAGTCGCGGCCAGGGCCAGGCGCCATCCTCACCGGGCCCGGGTGCGGCGCAGGTGCTGGGCTCGCTCTGCGCCTTCTCCTCTCCCTCTCCCGCACTCCATCCCGGGATTCCCCGGCGGGCTCGTCCCCCTAGACAGGACCCCGCCCCCGGAGGACAAAAGACCCCTGCCCCCCGGGCCAGCGCCTCGCTCCCTCCCTCAGGCCTCCACACCTTTCCATCTCCGGGAGGAGCCAACGCCTGGAGGCCTCGCCGGGCCTGGGATCCAGGGCCCACCAGGGCCACCCGGCCACCCCACTGGCGGAAGGGAAACCTACACACGCCGACTGGGAGGGCAAATATAAGGGCCAGGACAGGGGTCCAGAAACGCATTTCTGAGTCAATGGGACAAGAATGGGAGGCTGCAGAGGGAACACAAATGTACTCTTGGAGGGCTGTGTGTTTTCTGAGAACTTCAAGTTTTTCAGGGAAATGCTACCCTAAAATAATCAATAAAATGTTAACTGGCCTGCAAGGTGCTGCAATGCAGGTCTCCATACCGTCATTTAGCACTTGTGTTTATCACTGTTAGTCTCAAGTGCTGTCAGACAGAAAGAGGCAAGATCGAACCTAGTAAAATCGCGGTACAAAGGAGGATGCTTGGCGGACGCAGGTACCTGCACCGCAGCCCTCAGCCGAAGATCCACAGAGCAGCAGAGGGTTCTACCTCCATCCACAGCACGTGGCAATGGCTGCACCGGCAAACAGCACGCCAGTAACTCACAATGAGGAACTGCTGTTCCATATTTTAGCGACCATTGGCTCGGCACCCACCATGGTGCACCTGTGAACAAAGCTGCTCAGAGCTACTCAGTGACATTGGTTACATCTAAAGCTCAAGGGCTGCCTGCTGGCCCTGCTGAGGTCTCATTTCTCTGAACCAGGACACACGGTCATCACATATCAATACTGTTTTTATAGAAATACCTGTACAAAAGCATTCTCAGTACCAACGTTACTAAAGCCAAAGAAACCTAATGTGCGGAACTGAACCTGAGATAGTATCTGTCTACTAAACTGAGACTTGGCTGTTTTGTTTCAATGCAAAACTATTTGTTAGATTAAATGAATATTTACTTTATAAATTCTATTTAGTTTTATTTATAAAGTCACTGTAATTACTGTAGATAAAAGAAGTTGATTCCTAGCTTTGTGTCTGTTCTATAAAATTAAGATTTTAATTTTTAAAACCCTCAGCATGAGGGAGTTCAGACACTCGAGTCTCCAGGTTTTTACCATCTACATCTCATGTACAACATGAAAATGAGACTCAGCAATATTTCTTAATAATTCTACAGAGCAAAGCCCTGCTACTCAGTGCAATATGACAGCCCAGGGAGATGGATAATGTACAGGATGAAACATTACACTGACATTAAGGAGACCCGAGTTCTAGCTCCTATTCTGCCTTTACAAAACAGTAAACTTTGACAAGTGAGGCTCTCACCGGCTCATAATCTAGAATTTGTTAAACTATACAGATTTCAAAAGAAGCATGTGAACTACTTTTATGATTGATTCAGCCTAGAGAACATTCAAAGAAAGGTCACAGTAAATGTCTTTGTAAATATCTCCTAAACAGGAAAAAAAATAAAGCAGTCAGTTGAGATTAAAGGTGGGCACACAGTGCAATATACAGGTCTTATATCATAGAAAAATGTACACTTGAAACCTATATGATCCTATTAAGCAATGTCACCCCAATAAATTTAAAAAATTAATAAAAATAAAGGAGTTGTTCTTACCTTCTACTTTAAATATTTTGTGCTTCCATGGACAAATAATTTGTTTACCTGATACTATACTAACTCCCCCCATAAGTAGAGTTGTCAGCCAACCTATAGGTTTATGGAGACAGAACCTCAGGAAACTTAAAGAGATCAGCATGGAACACTCAGGAACATAAACATGCAAATATCAAAATAGATGGAAGAACAGAGAATCACTGACTCAAAGAATATCCAGAAAGAATTAAAAATAACTGCAGAAAGACAGATTGTGTTAACTGGAAATGATTTAGTAATGTGATATGTATGATCAATAATGATATGTACTATGTAATATCAAGCATAATACCTTTTTATATATATTTTATTGATTTTTTACAGAGAGGAAGAGAGAGGAATAGAGAGTTAGAAACATCGATGGGAGAGAAACCAATGTACATGCCCTTGACCGGAATCAAATCTGGGACCCTTAAGTCTGCAGGCTGACGCTCTATCCACTGAGCCAAACCAGTTAGGGCTCAAGCATAATATCTTAACTGATGGAAAAAATGTCTATAGCTCTTGTCTCTTAAAATCCAAGAGAAACTTTAAACAACACCTAAAAAAATTAATAGCTAAGTCAATCATCACTTACTAAAGCCACCACGGGGGAGGCACAATATGCATATACTTATGCATATGTAATGATTCCAAATATTCAATGCAAGTGTTACAAACATACATACATACATAAAATCACTGTAAAACCACCCAGAAACTTCTCTATAGAAATTCAATGTATTTTATCTCTGGATTTTAAATTTTAAAAATATAACTCCGTTTCAGTATCCTCATATGGTGATACTATCTATTTCAGACTTTCTGTGAGGATTAAAGATAAATCACTTACAAAAAAATTTTAAGCCATAAATACCTATGCGTATTAATAGATTCAGCAGCATTTTTTAACAGCCTGAAATTATAAACAACCCCAATGTTCAGCAACAAGCAATTCAATAAACAAATCGTGGTATCTCCACTACTTGGCAACTATATGGGTGAATCTCAATTATACTGAGTTTAAAAGCCAGAACAAAAAATAGATTATATACCATATAATGTTCTTCATATAAAACTCTGGAAAATGCAAACTAATGTACGGTGAAAGAAAGAAGATTGCCTGGAAGATAAGGGTGCTGATTGGTGAATAGCTGGAAGGACTCACAGGGGCACCAGGAAACTTTTAAGGGAGATGAATATGTTTATTATCTTGAAGGTGATAATGGTTTCATAAGGGTATATATGTGTCAAATTATAGACTTTAAATATGTACAGTTTATTGTATATCAATTATGCATCAATAGAGCTGTTTATTTTAAAGTTGATGGCAGTGTATATAAATTTGCGTAAGTATCCAGTTTGTCTGCTCTATATATTTAAAAAACATACAGATGCTGATATTTTTCTTAAAAAAATAAACAACTTACTTTGCATTTCCAGCCATTGGTTGGTACTGATTTCATAACTGGTTGAAGACAAAAAGTATGATACCCTTTGTCACACGTATCACACACTAGCATCTTGCTATCTTCTCCCGATTGTCTAAAAAATAAGATAGCATTAATGATGCCTGACCTTTAAACTTATGTTTGTAACATAAGTAATCATCTAAAGAATCAACTCTGGGATTGCCCAGTTCATAAACACCTCAGTGTCTGTTTTGTCCATGTGCAGATAATGACAAAGGCAACCCCTAGATGTGACAGCATTCGCCCCAAGCTCCCTACAGGCTTTTCCTACTGAAAGCTCCCCTAGGGTGAACCTGCTTTAATCATTTGGGGATTCCACAGAGAAGGAGGGGTTAAGGCAGGACGACTGACTCGGATCTTTAAGTATCACATACTATCCTCTCTTAGGAAGGAACTATAACTGATAGTTGATGCTGAAGGAACACCCTTCAGAAGAGTGAACTGGGAAGACACAGTCATAATAAAAGGAGGATCAAATTTGGCATCAGACCTATCTTTATATTCAACTGCTGTTTTCCTAGCTATGCGACTCCTGAATAACTTAGACTTGAGTTCTCTTGGTTTCAGGTATAAAATATGAATAATTACCAAAGGTTACCTGAGAATTAAATATAATTCTGGTTGAAGAGCTTAGAATACTCATTAAGCAGTATATACTAAATAAATAGGTATAAGAATTACAATCTTATAATTATTAAAAACTATACTAAAAATAAATATCTGCCTTGATCCTTGGCTATTAATCACTCTCAGATACTAAGAATTTAACTCAAGAGGAGGGGAAAGAAAACCTGGGGAATGCAAGAAGAGCGGAGAGAGGAAATGCTGAATAAATCCTGGGGATAAACAGAAGTAAAACGGAAGATGGGTTAGTTGGTCTCCAGTTATTTCTTATTTAGCTTAACAAATTCTACATATAAAATTGCATATTTTATCTCTTCAGCTACATGGAAAGATCCCATAGGAAAAGCACTCTTTCTTCAAGTTCTCATATTCCCTCCCAAGAAACCAGGCACAGATACAAGGTACCAAATAAACGTTTATTGATATTTTCTTTAATTTTTACCAAAATATAACAGCATTTGGTCCTACTTATTCCACATAATTCTGAGATACTGATGCTTTGTTAAGAAATTAAATTATGAATAAAACAGACTGGTGGGCATAATTTTCCTAGTTAAAAAAGTCCTCAGCTTGTAAATAATTTAAAGATTGCTGTAGATGCAGGTAACATCCCCAATCTATCATGCTAATTAGTAGCATGAGGAAAATAAGTCACAGAAAAGACTGGAGAAATGACCAAAGGATGGAATAGAACAAATAGGGAAAAATCACCCCATTGCAAATGTTTAAATGCCATACAATACTCTGTTTCAGTATTGTGGTGACTAGGATCTACTGACCATAACTGTCCTTCAGAGAGATATAGATTTTTTTTAAAAAAAACAATGATCTTAGTTTAATTGTCCTTCCTGGAAAGGAAGATGACTCACTTTCAGTAGTGATGTTCATTTTGCTATTAAATCCCCTCCCCGGTCTCCCTCTAAAGAAGTTGCTGTAGTTTTCTAATATTTATTTTAAATTGTTAATATTACTCATTTAAAAAATTGTTGGCAAATTTAAATTAGCTTTTTAGGCAACCAGAGGAATTTAAATTATTAAAATTACTTTTGTGTAGCCTTTGTTTCAAAGTAACATAAATGTTAATACAAACCTAGCATTTACTTCTTAAATTAAGACATGATGAAGGCGATGTGAATGAATATAGCTGCAGTCTGAACAACCTTTAGCACATCACACAAACCTCTCGGACCTACAAATAGGGTCTCTCACAAACTCAATACACACCTGTGAGTTGAAATTAAAACTTACTTGCAGTTCTGGCACACTTTGCACTCAGGACATTGCCAACCTGCACGTTTTAATGGAGTAACCGCTATATCCAGGCACATTCCATGATAGTGCTGACCACAAGTAGTACAAAAGAACTGATCTAACAGGTCTCCCGGGCTGTCGCACACTGCACAGTTTGCATCTTCCTTTGCTATAATTAACAGTAAAACAATGAAATTGTTGTATAAGAATTTGATAATTTTCTGACTTTACAGTTTAAAAATCACTTTAAGGGAATTTGCATGGTAAATCTTTCAGACACTTTAAGTTATCCACATTGAAGTGATATCCAATCAGAATATGGTCTCCATAGAAACAATGCAATATATTTAATCTAAATGTAATCACATTCAGTTTAATCATCTGGTTTTGCAATTTGTGCCTATATGTACTTGAGACCAAGCAGTTCTGATGTAGTCTTATATCCCTAGGACCAGTGACAACGCTGGGTGCCTACTTAATGCTTCATATATGCTGCTGGAAGAACCAAACCAGTAAAGTATCAACTGAGACATTGGTAGTGTAAAAAAACAACAACAACAAAACAAAAAACATTTTATTTGGATGTTAAATATGTTTTGAAATTAACAAAATGAGACAAAAAAATTAAGAAATGTTAATATCCATTAGATTAAGATGCATCTTACGCATAAACAGACTAATTTTTATTTAAATCAAATAAGTTTTTTAATACTGAAAAATATTGTATGAGGGAGAACATTGTAGATGGAAGCTACACATTCATACCCAAATACAATACTTCATTCACTATTTTGATATTCATCTATATTGATGACAAGCTGTTTTAAAAAGCATTAAATTCTATATAATTATGGACATCATCTATCTCCTAAATGTGGATCAAAAGAAATGTCGCTTTTTAACAGTTCTTTTACCACTAAAACAAAAAAATAACTGTAAGAATAAACTGCCTTGCCAAGTACATAGTTAAACTCATTCACATTACAAAGTAAGTAAATAATGTTTTCTAAAATCATACCAATTTGATAGATAGATATAGATATATCCTACATAATAAAAACCTAACATGCTGTGTCCGTTGATTCGACCAGTTGCTATGACATGCACTGACCACCAGGGGCAGGTGCTCCAATTGGTAGGTTAGCTTGCTGCTGGGGTCCAGCCTATCAGAACTGGGCCAGACGGGCTGGACATGCCCTGGAGCCCTCCCACGGTCTCTCCCTACCGTGCACCGTGCACCGGTGAGGTTCCTCGGCCTGGCCTGTGTCCTCTTGCAATCGGGACCCCTGAAGGGATATCGGACAGCCAGTTTCAGCCCAATCCCTGCAGGCCAGGCTGAGAAACCCCACCAGTGCACGAATCCGTGCACCGGGCCCCTCCCTCCCCACACAATTATGCCTATATCGGACACTTAGGGCCTCAACTAAGTGGTCTGATTAGCTGATTACCTAGGATTGTTTTAAATAGTATATATAATTTTTTTTCTTTTTTGTATTTTGAAGGTTTCATCAGTCCTCTCTGACTATAAGCCCTTTCTACCTTCTTTGTTTCCCAGTCGAGCATCTTGAAACCGAGTAATAATCTATTCCATTTCCTTATACCAGTCAGCAAACTGGTTTTGTAGGCCATAGAAGTCTCTGGTGTAGAAACCTTTTGTTTTTATTTTAGAGTCCTTTTAAAATGGTAAAAAGCCATTTGTAGCCTGAGGGCAGCACACAAATGGGCCCTGGGACTGAGATGTACCTGGCCCCCAAGCTGGACCCTCTGGTGGCTCCACACCCACCATTCATCTGAAGCTACTTTAATGAGGCTACCAATGACCTGTGAGCTCCCAGGTCACTTTTTGGACCTTACCTTATTTGCACTTTGCAGCATTTATATTACTAACTAAGTCCCACCCTGAAGTAAGATTTCTCTTCCCTTGGCTTCTAGGATGGCCTCCTTCTCAGTAAAGTCCCCATGCCTCCATCTCTTCCTCCTGGGTTGGCTTTTGTGCCTCTCTCCCTCTAAATGCATCCTGTTCTTTCTTTTCTAATTCCCCATGCTTTCTCTTAGTGATCACACCAACTCCCACAATTTCAGTTCCCCAATGGATATTGCCAGCCCCAAACTTCTTTCTAACCCCCAACACACTATTTGCAAGTCTTCCTGAACCTCAATAGCCAGATGTTCTAAAAATATACATCCAATGCCTCTAAAATAAAACATTTTTAAAATCTAACCCCCCCCCTCCCTCTTCTCTCAATCAGCATTAGTATCACTGTTGACCCTTCAACTCTTTCCTGACCCAACACAGCCACTGGACACCAATTCTTGTTGAGCAACTTTCCCTGTCCCTGTCCTTCCATTTGTACAGCTGGGTCCTTGCACTCCCTGCTGTGGTCCATGCAATGCATTCTGAATGGAATCCCTACATATGGTTCTGATCTGCTCCCTAAATAATCTAACTATGCATCTAACTGGTTATGCCTGCTGAAACTAAAACTGCACCAGTACTTCCTTTTTCACCTAAAAGTGGAAAAATAAAAACTTTCTAGTATGAGGCAAAAAAGAAAAACACAAAACAAAAAACCATTTCCTCCCTTTCCAACTGACTCTCAGGACCATTCACCAATTCCTGATCACGTCAAGCAGTTTTCTGCACACATAACATATGCTGCTGCCCAGTGCCGTGTACTTGGACACCACCTACTCCCTCTGCATGAAATGTGGTTCCCTTGTTGTGCCCCGAGCCCATCCCAAAGAGACCTTCCAAACTCTGCACACTGTCCCCAAATATGAAATATTACCACTCCTAAGCAACTATGTGCATAGTTGTTGAATATTCTTTTCTCCATATGCTTAGAAGAAACTGCTCTATAAGTAATTGTAACACAATACTGTGCTCCCTTGAAGGGCAGGGACCTTGTCTTTTAGACTTTGCATCTTCAACTTCCTAGCACAAATAAAGTCTTATTAAATACTAGGGGCCCGGTGCACGAAATTCGTGCACTGGGTGGGGCGTGGGCAAGTGCTGGGCGAGCACTGCTGCTGCTAGAGCGCTGCTAGTTGCTAGGTGAAGTGAGGGCCTCACCCCAGAGCAGCGTTAGCTTCTTTGGAAGGACAGAGCACCTTAGGGGCATCTAGGGAAAGGGGTGAGTATGCAATGCTCTTATAATTGTGCATGGCAATTGAATGCAGAAACCTGAAAAACCTCAACATGCTGGTAATCTTTCCATAAAATAACTAGCCTTTCAAGTCTTTTTTCCCTTGTGAATTTTTTTTCTTGTATCCAACAATTGCTTTTAAAGTTATAGTCTGGTTGCATACAACTTTAAGATCCCATGAAGGGTGGGGTTTCTCAAATGTGTGGACATAGAGAAGTCTCGGAGGCATCAACTTGGAGAAGCTGTTGTGTTCTGTAAAGAGTGGCTTTGAGGTCAGCAGGGGGCTTCTTCCTGCTTTCCCTTTCGCCTCCTGCATTGTGCCTACATATGCAAATTAACCGCCATCTTGTTGGCAGTTAACTGCCAATCTTAGTTGGCAGTTAATTTGCATATAGCCCTGATTAGCCAATGAAAAGGGTAGTGTCGTAGGCCAATTACCATTTTTCTCTTTTATTAGTGTAGATATAGTTTAAGTAAATAACTTGCTTCTAAAGTCACTTTTAAAAGAATCTTTGATTGATAGGCATTAATTTAAAAATGGAAATATTATAAATTAGTTCATTTTTTGTAAGGGTGAATTGTTTTTTCTTAATACTGAAATGGAGTGCCAATATTTACTCATTCAAGCTATGGACATTTAAAAACTAGTCTTAGATCTATTTGCTACCATCAGAACATACAGAAATTGGGGCAAGTACTGGACTCTGATGATCAGAGACTCAATTCATCTTTCTATTGTAATTTGCCAGGAATACTGCCCAAGGTGCTTCCGTGGAACTTCCTAGAGTTTGACTCTGACACTTCCACTTACCATTGCAGCCACCAGCCAATGTGGCTACAAAGCAAATGAAATTCAACCAGTCCAAATTGAGATGAGCTGCACATATAAACACACCCTAGATTCCAAAAATATATTAGGGGGAAATGTGTAATATCTCAAATATTTTTTATTGATTACATGTTGAAATATTACTATTTTGTATATACTGGTTAACATGACTACTAGAAAAATGACAATTACTTCTGTTGCTCACATGATATTTCTGTTACACAGTGAGCGCTATTTTATATAGCAAAGCCCATTTGGCACCTAGATACATGTGTGTCACTATGGCAGAGAAAACTACTTCATTCTATTATAGATTCCAGCAGTTCCTTAATGACAGTGCTGTCATAGTATTTGATTAGTGTGAGTCATTAGTAGTAAATTAAACTAAGAAAACATCCATAGGATACACTGGGTCCAGAAACATTTACTTTATGACATAAAAATAATAACAGCAAAAAGTGCTACATACAGAAATAGAGTTCATTCCAACCACTGCCCAAACCAGGAGAAGATACATGCAGAAACCCTAGCACTGCCTATTACAGATCACGCATAAGAAGATGATATTACCGGACAGCTTAAGCGTCTTGTCACAGGTAAGTATATGTACACAGACATACATATGTGTCTGCACACCCCAGAGACATTAAGTTTGAAGCAATAATCCAATAACTATGTGAGACTTTTCTTTAAGCAGCTAGAAAGCAGAAGAGATTGGGTATAAGACTAAAGTTAATTTGAGAGGACAAGAGTGAAGTCCAGGTCAGGGTGGCTCCAACGGCCACGCTCTTCACTCCTCTTCAACACAGACGCCCAGTGGGAGGGCAAAGAAGGCGGAGAACACTGAGCATGTACAAACGCAGACAGCGCCAGCACAGGCATGGAGTGAGGAAGGTAAATGACGGGGGAGGAGGACGAAGAGCGGGAGAAGCAGAAAGATAAGCTTCGGACAAGGTCACTTCCTAAGTGACAGCTGTGACAAGAAAAGAGATGGAGGAAAAGGCAAAAACAATGAGCTCAAAGTAGAAGGGAGCTTACCATGGATCCTCCACCTTGGTCAAGTTGGGAGGTGAGACTATACTGCTTACCAGTGTCTAGAAGCACGTAAGAATAAACGTGCTGGTGTAAATACAGAGTGAGAAATGTCACAGTGATGTCAGATAGCATCAGTTTAAGAAGGACTACATCGGCATGGCTTCTGCTGGCACGACAGCACTGACCATCGACGCCGTCACTAACTGGCAGAACACTGTGCCAGGTGGCTGGCCTACCATGGGACGTCTCTAGAAAGAAAACGTAAATCATGGATGCTGCCCAGAGAGGCTGGCCCTTATGGTAGGTAGGCAGGTAGGTAAGAAAGAAAGGTCAGGGGACTGACAGAATGTAGGATAACAGCAAAGCAGTAGGACTTTGTGTCCAGAAATACAAGCACTACCAAGAAATAGTCTGGAGTTAAAAGCTTAACAGAAGTAAAGGAGTGAAAAGCTGAGTGGTGGCAATAAAGAGAGGGGAGACGACATAGAGGGAGAGGGGGAGAGAGAGAGAGAGAGAGAGAGAGAGAGAGGGCATTCCCACGTTTAAACCCTGCAAAGGGTCACACTGCAGACAGAATCACATCACACCCTGCCCTGTGTGACCCAGCCTGTGTTCATCAGGCTGTTGCCTTTACTATCCACCTAGAAGACACTATGGTACAGGCACAATGACAGCGACTGTCCACAGCTGTGCCAAGCTCTTTCCTCAGGCCTGTGCAGTGTTGCTCCACCTGCCTGAATGCTCTCCCCACCGCTCCTGCATGGCTGGCTTCCTGCATTCAGCTCTCCCTAGGAGGCAGCAGACTCCTCAGGAAGCATGCTGGCCGTGTCTCCACGACAAGCATTCGGTGGGAAATTCCCAGACAAGGTCCATGTACATCATCATCAGGACAACAATGCTGGAGGTATGGCCATCCATGACACAGAGCACCCTGCAACTGCTTTCTACTGAAAGTCCTGGCCTTGCTCGCTGACCCTGTCTTTGTTGGGATTTCTTTCTAATGGTGTCCGTGTCTCTATTAGATTTGTCAACTTCCATAAAAAATGTCAATCTTTCTCCTAACTCAGCTAATTATCACTCTAATATATTGCTCTACACTTAGCCACCAGTATTCAATGTATACATATAACTTGAGTCTTAGATAAGAACTAAAATCACTACCTTTCTGTAAAGTAATTAATATAGACAAAGTCCGATGCCACATGATATTCACTGACTAGTGTCTTTTCACTTATCCCCCATTTTTGAGACATAAAAGTTATGTACTTTGTGCTATGACACACAATTACAACAACTAGAAAGATTTTATGAAGACTAATGCATGGTCTTGTATATTATAGAAATACATTATATCTCCAATATTCTCTATATTCTTGGATTAAGACGGATGGTCAGGAAGTTATGTATTTAGACTGCATTTTGCAAAATCCCCAAGAAATTGCATTTCCTCGGTTGGGCTTTGATTTTATACCACTAGCTTATTTTGAGGTCTGTTATAAAAAAAATGCCCTGTGGGATTTGCTTCTTACACTACAAGGCAGCTACTTGGAGACAGTTTTAACACTGTAGCATGTAGTGTACATACAGTCTCAGTATCAAGTGAATTCTTGTCATATTGCTATGAACCAGGTAACTCTTCGTGTTGACTGCTGGAAAGCTCTGGAGCCACATTTGTAGTTTAGGTTGAGAAAGTGTGCGTTTAACTTGGGTACTGGCCTCACCATTACCTTTGTGTTTATCCTACCTGTATTTTACAATGGCCAAATTCCCTTGCTTATTTTTAGTTTTATTTTATCCTACCGTTCATGCATTTTTATCTATTTGGGAACAAGAAACAGTACCAATAATCTCAGAATATCTTTTGGTTTTATGTTGCTGGCATAAACCTTTCACTCTAGGGATGAAAAAATGATGGTAAATCATCTCACCTCAGTTCTGACACGTCATTACTTTACAAAACAATTTATGATCTCTCACACATAAATGAGGTCTACGCTGTTAGAACACAGTCTGCAGCACGGAGCAGTACAGCCATTAGGCAACAAAACACCTAACATTGGAAACACAGTCACAGAAAAGTTTACACAGTTTACTGAGCTCTAAAGCATGACTAAGTACAAAAGGCTGAGTAAAATTCAGATTCTTAAATACATACACATTGTTTTGTTCCACTGGCAAAGTGTAAAGAACCACCCAGAATGCAATCAACTCTAATTTAAACTAGCATCGTAGCTTGTGCACCTGGTGAAGTGATTCACTGCATGAGGTCTTAAAATAATAGCACCCGGTAGAGTGGCTATGCATGAATGTTCTTTTTCTCCCAGATTTTAGTGTATAATCCACAACATTCTTAAAACTTTAAATCCCTCCCCAGCCTAAATACAATTTGACATTAGGTTTTGCCTTACCTATAATTTACACCTGTAGGGTGACTATACATGTAGACACAAAATAATTGTAACTGAATATAAAATTATGGCACTAAATAAAGAAAAAAATAATGATTATGAAATCTAACTGTACTTGAGAACACTTCAGTTCATGCCCCATAAACATAGGTAGCTATACTTATGTTTCACAGAGATGAAAAAGAGGGGAAGCCTTTATTGGCATTGCTAAGAAAGAGGTGAAGCTAGCAGTTAGGCTAAAAAGACTGAATAAAGCATTTCACAATGAGATTGGAAACACAATTTAAGAGGGAAAAAGACCCCGGAGCATACATGCTCTTTGGAAATCCATAGAAATAAAAAGGTAAGATCTCTGTTTCATGACAAAGACAGCAAAGAGTCATAACTTTTGGTACAACATGAAATTCAAACGTTTAAACATTTTTCACTTAATTAAAAAATACTGTCTGGAAGAGAAAGGAAAAACCTTAAGTGTGGTTGCAGTGAACAGAGAAGACTCAGAAGCTGCAGGGACAGGTTCCACAAGGACCAGGCCGGGCTCCAGAGCGCAGAGGTCTGCGGTGACCTATCAATAGTGTACCTCCTGCAAGAATGCCTGAGTTGGAGATTTTCAACCTTCTTCATCTCATGGCACATAAACTAATTACTAAAATTCTGCAGCACAACAAAAAGTTTTGCCTGACCAAAAAAAAGGTATGGTTTTGATTCATTCACACTGGATGGCCAGTGTTGTGTTGGCTGCTGCCATTTTTTTATCTGACAATCTAAAGGAAAAGAGGTCAGTGCCCCTGACTCAGTAGTCAGATGTTGCATGTTTTAAAAGTCCTTGTGCGCACGGTTGAAAAATCTGAGTCAATCAGCTTCCAATTTTCCAGCTGGATGCTGGGTGGTTTCTAGTGTAAAAGACACTGAATACTGTTTAACTTTTTAAAGGACTTACTTTATAGTGCATATTAAAATACTATATACTCAGTATTTCTAATTTTTGACAGTGTTTTAAAAAAAGTTTTAAGTAAGAAAAACCATGTAAACTACATTTGAATTGCTGAGGAAGTAACTTTTTGTCTTTAACTTCAATGGCACTGTTGATAACAGATTTCCCCCAAGGACCTCTGGCAAAGATCCCTCAGATTATCAAGATTATACAATGTTATCTTCTAATACAAGCAGAGTGACACTCAGGGAGTGATGACATGCATTACTGTAAGTGAGTACACTGGCTCATATCTAAGAATGTGTCTAAGTAAGTGCGCTACTTACATCTTTCAGGAGCTTGGTCGATGTGCTCTGGACAAAGAAGGAAGAAGTGGCTGACGTCCTGGAAGGTGCCGGCCCCCACAGCACAAGGGTAATGGTATGTCTGTGTACATTTCTCTTCACAGCATTTGATAGTGGCTCCAAGGTGCTTACAAAATGCACATCGCTGAAGAGGGGAAAAGGGAAAAGAATTTCTTCATAAAACCTGGTAGAGGAACATTCAAATGCGGGACTAGGAAAGTATTAAAAACCTTTGTACATCACTTGTAAAACTAGTTGAATCTGCAGAATAGCAAATAAAGGATCTGTTAGAAATAATAAGATCTAAGGTACTCAATTCGATGCCTGGTATAATAGTCTCATCCTTCCATTCAAGTTTACAAAGTTAGCATTTCGCTTTTTCACTGACTTTGTACAACTAATTTTTCAAAACTACCAGTAGTATGGTTAAAAAGGCAGGTTTCTAGTTGAGCATTACTTTCGTAAGTGTTTAAATACCATCAATAAACAAGTAAAACGAATACAGAGTCTAAAACATCTATCATCCTGCCTAAAAATCAATAGGTAGTAAACTAGTCAATCAGGGTAGGAAAATGAGGGACAACTATATTGTTCAAGGCAACAGATTGACACATTCCACTGTGGTAATTCACTTTAAGTTTCTTAATAAATGCTAGGAGTGTAAAGAAAAATTAGGTCATGACTATCTCCTCTCCCCTCACTCCCACCAATTTCAATCTGATGCTACTCTGACAAGCAGTAAGAGCAAAGAAATAATGCCCCCATGACCAACAAAGTAAGTCTAGAGCAGTGGTTCTCAACCTTCCTAATGCCACGACCTTTAATACAGTTCCTCATGTTGTGGTGACCCCCAACCATAAAATTATTTTCGTTGCTACTTCATAACTGTAATTTTGCTACTGTTATGAATCGTAATGTAAATATCTGATATACAGGATGTATTTTTCATTGTTACAAATTGAACTTAATTAAAGCATAGTGATTAATCACAAAAACAATATCTAATTATATATGTTTTCCGATGGTCTTAGGCGACCTCTGTGAAAGGGTCGTTTGACTCCCAAAAAGGTCGTGACCCACAGGTTGAGAACGAACCGCTGGTCTAGAGCAACTGAGTGTGTAAGAAGTCAGTCTGGATGATCTTCGATGCTTTACTTCCTTAACTCACCTTTCCCTAAGAATGACTGGCTATCCGCCCAAGCCCATTTTGGACATCATTTCTTTTGTGGAGCTTTTGCTGTGAGGCCTACACTGTATAGTGTAAAACCTCCCTCTGTGTAGAAGAGGCTAGGCTGTCCTTGTTACATTAACCTCTGCGTTAGCATTTATGCCTCTGGCATGGTGATTTGTCTTTTCCTCCTGTTCCAACATCCCTTGGTAGAAACTGGTAGTCCTAGTTTGTTCACGTAGCACCATGGATGCTGCTGACAAAGAAAGACCAGACATACATATCCTAAGAGGATCTCACCCTCAGGACTCACATTCGTGCGTGCGGCTTACCAGCAGCACAGCTGGATGTGTAAACCTACGTAAGATAGCACATGCCATCAAAACCTCATAACCTCAGGTCCTCCGCTTCGAAACAATATGAGGAAGCTTAGCACCTTCTGGTGTGTCTGCTACACATTGAGTGCAGCCAAAAGACCACAGCAGTTTTTAAGTCACTCATAAATTCTAGCTGTATCTGTGACATTTTATTTTTATATAAAATCCACAGACTAATGCACATTTTAGTTCTTTTTTGTACTCAAGGGCATTACAGCATTAAAAACACAGAGAAGTTCAGCCAGTGTGGCTTAGTGATTGAGGACCGTTCCATGAACCAAGATGTCACCAATGTTTCTCTCTAAAAATCAATGGAAAAATATCCTTAGGTGAGGATTAACAATAACAACAAAACTGAATGTAATAAAAAAAACTCAAAGTATCTCTATATCGCTGTGGTAAGAAGATGATGGCAAAAAGCAATAATAATATTAAATCTCATTTTTTATCTACTAGCTTTGAATGTTTTATACTGGTATAGTTATTTTGGATTCTTTTAAATTGGTGCACAAAATAAACAATATTCTCTTTTTCTTTTAACTTCTTCAGTTAGAGGAAAAATTCATCCAAATTAAAAGAAAAGACACTATGGATTAGGGAATAAACAAAAATTTTATACGGATATATTATAAAATGCTACTGAAAACAAACATTGAATCTTATCTAATATATTCTCATATCATACATATAACTTGGATAAATACATATAAAATGGATAAATAACCTAAGGTAACTTGGGAATATGCAAAGTTTTTTTTTTAATATAAGGCATAATGAGCATAACCCATAAAAGAAAAAACTTAGCCCTAGCCGGTTTGGCTCGGTGGATAGAATGTCGGCCTGCGAACTGAAAGGACCCAGGTTCGATTCTGGTCAAGGGCACATGCCCTGGTTGTGGGCTCAATCCCCAGTGGGGAGTTGGCAGGAGGCAGCCGGTCAATGATGCTCTCTCATCATTGATGTTTCTATCTCTCTCTCCCTCTCCCTTCCTCTCTGTAAAAAAAATCAATAAAATATATATTAAAATATATTTTTTTAAAAAGAAAAGAAAAAACTTACAAAGTGGCAAATGACAAACTTCATCAAAATTAAGCCCTCTGCTCTTCAGAAAGCACTAAGAAAATGAAAACGAGTTGCAAACTAGGCAGGAATATTTATGAAATGCATCTCTAACAAACAACTTGTATGAAGAAATATATAAAGAATTCTGACACCTCAATAGTAAGAAGACAAATTAATTGGAATAGGGTAGGGGTAGGGGCAAAAGATTTGAACAAACACTTCGCTAAAGATACCCAATAGCAAGTAAGTACATGAGATGTTCAATCTCATTAGTCATCAGGAAGCAAAAAAGAAGCCCACAAGGAGATATCACTGAAGGAGAACAGCTAAAATTCAGAAACACTGACAATTTCCAGTGTTAGCAACACCATAGAGCAAATGCACCTCTCACTACTTACTGGTGGAAATGGAAAGTTATACAGGCAAAGTTAAACATACTTCTAAACGAACAGTGTAGCATCCATGTTCACAGCAGCTTTATAAATAATAGCCAAGAACAAACTACCCCCTGATGAATGACCATTATGCTAACTACATGCTCTATGATTCCATTTCAGTATCAGCCTAGAAAATGCAAAACTGTAGGAAGAGGAACAGGTCAGTAATGGCCAGGAGCTGGAAGGGCGGTCCATGAAAGGGGAGGAGAGGGCTCTGACCTCAGAGGGTCATGAGAGAACATTTGTGGGGTACAGGAAATATTCTATACCATGACTATGATAGTTACATACTTGATTGTACACACTTCTCAAAACATGTTCAACTATAACCTATGAAGAGGTGAGTTATATATAAAATATGCCTTAATAAAAGAAAGAATCGCCCAGCTGATGTGGCTCAGTGGATTGAGCGTCATCCTATGCACCAAGAGGTCTGGTTTAATTCCCGGTCAAGGCACATGCCCAGGTTTCAGGGGGTGTGCAGGAGGCAGGCAATGTTTCTCTCACACCTATGTTTCTAATTCCCTTCCTTACCCTTTCTCTCTCTAAAATCAATAAAAATATACTTAAAAAAAAAAGAATGAGCCACACAGAAAAATATTATTCATTGAATAAAGGCAGAGAGGCTAAAGATAAAATGTGTAGCCCTTGCATGGTAGCTCAGTTAGTTAGAGTGTCATCCCAATACGCCAAGGTTGGGGGTTCGATCCCTGTCAGTGCACATGCAAGAGTCAACTAATGAATGCATAAATAAGTGAAACAACAAATCACTATAAATTTAGTATTTTTTATTATTATTAATTTCCTGTGAGTTGGAATAGTGTGGCAAGTGCTCAATCTGGTAATGCTGATATATATTGTATTCTACATATCAACCAGATCCTGGCATAATGAATTTAATGCTTTGCCATCTAACTTGATAACAACAAAAGTGCTACATATGAAGTCCACTTTTCTTCTTTTAATATGCCAGGTATATATAACAGTAACAAAAGAAATAAATAAGCTGCCAGGACTGTACACATGGCAAACACTGTGAATTATAATTGTGTCACTGTGACTTCTACCACGTTCACAGCAATGACCAGCACGTGTGGTCTCTGCAGCAACCACTCAGCTCTGTCACTGTCATGCAATGGAAGCCACAGATAATACGCAAATGACTGTGACTTTGTTCCAATAAAACTTTATTTATGACACTAAAATTTGTATTTCCTATGACTTCATGTATTAGAAATATATATTTAAATTTGTTTAACCAGCTCAGCCGATGTGGCTCAGTGGTTGAGCGTTGACCTATGAACCAGGAGGTCACAGTTCGATTCCCAGTCAGGGCACATGCCCAGGGTTGGGGGCTCGATCCCCAGTGTGGGGCATGTAGGAGGCAGCCAGTCAATGATTCTCTCTAATCACTGTTTCTCTCTCACCCTCCCTCTTCTCTCCGAAATCAATAAAAGATATATTTTGAAAGATAAAAAATAAAAACATGCATAGTATAATGAATTAGGAGGTAACTGGTGCCCAGCTGGTGTGGCTCAGTGATTGAGCATCGATCCATAAACCAAGAGGTCGAGGTTCAATTCCCAGTCAGGGCACATGCCCAAGTTGCAGACTCAATCCCCAGTAGGGGTATACAGGAGGCACCCAATTAATGATTCTCTCTCATCAAGTTTCTATCTCTCTCTCTCTCTCTCCCTTCCTCCCTGAAATCAATAAAAATATATTCAAAACAAAACAAAACTACTCAATCCAAAAAATGGAGCAGAAAAGAAACAAACAGAAAAACAAAACAAAACAAAACAGGATGATAATCACATTAGTACATGGCCTTAAATCTCCAACTAAAAAGCAGATTGTCAGTAAGATTTTAAAAATCAAAACCAGTTCCTGCAAGAAATGCACATTAGCCTGGCAGGTATATAGCTCAGCGGCTGAGCGTCGAACCAGGAACCAAGCAGCCACCAGTTCGATTCTCAGTCAGGGCACATGCCTAGGTTGCGGGCTCCATCCCCTGTGGGGTGTGTGCAGGAGGCAGCTGATTGATGATGCAATCTCTCTATCCCTCTCCCTTTTTCTCTAAAAAATCAATAAAAATATATAT